TACCGCGAGCCACGCTCGTGTCCCTGTTGAAGGCCCACGCGCCAACGCTGAAAGAGCTGCAGCTGTGGGTGGGCATGCCGGGGCAACGGGACTGGCCGTACAGCTGCAGCGACCTGCACTCGCTGCTGCAGCAGTGCGCGCTGCACGGGCTGCAGAGACTTGTACTGCTGCGGTGGTCCTCCAGCCGGACGCACAGCTCCCCGGAAGACTGCACTGAACAGTGCGAGGCGGTGCGGGAGGCGCTGCCTGGTGCCGATGTGCTCTGCGAAGTGTGTCACAACGTGGCGCGGCAGAGCTTCTAGGGACTTAGGCACTGACTCTCGTGCGCTTTGAACAAAACAGAAGTAATCAAAACCGTGTGATCTGTGCGAATAAAAAATAACAATGCCTATAATACTTTGAATTATTACCAAACTACGAAACGTAATCCCGTGTCGTTAAGTTGATCACGTGAAACTCGGCGTAGACATTGGTGAGAAATCATATTATGAAGCCTCTATTGCACATTTCTTTTCACCTACTGACGCTGTTTCCATTCCCCGATAATTGACCGATAAAATTAATATGCGGGTGATACGGTTAAGTAATCTTAGAAACATTTTCTAAGTTTGTATAAACAACAAAGCAATTGTTATGTATTACAAACTACCAGCCCATCACATTTTTCAAATAGATATTGAACTCGTATACACAGAAATAATACTCACAAAATTGCTTCCACATTCCTTACACATTTCGTAAGTATTATACTAGCAATTTTGTGACCGATCGGGATGGGGGATCTATAACGCATAAAAACCCACAGCAGCCAAATTTTTCGCAACTTAAATTTTTGTAATGATTTAACAACACTGAAAACCCAACAGTGTACTTAGTACACACAAAAGAGTCGACTTGCAAGAACAATCTACAGTACACTCTTTCTTGTTTGTAGATTACCGAAGGTAAAGCGCACAATTCTTTGTGTACTAAGGTAAGTACACACTCTACACACTTTGGAAGGTGTGTGCTAGCAAGTCGTCTCTTCCTTGTGTGAAATAAGTATACTGCTGGTTTTGCAGTGTGCATAACATAATAGACTGTTAACATGTTGAGGCCCACATGCCCTCACCTTAACCTGTTTAATAACAATTAAGTCGTAATTTTACGGCATACGTTTTTTGTAAAATCAACAACAAAACCTTTTTTTGTAATATGCAAAACATTCGTGCCAAAGAATGTCCTCTACTTGTTTGCTAAAAATAATCATGTGTTCTGGTGCAGGTCAGTAGGCTGGCCGACGTTCACTGTAACTTTGACCGCGCATGGAGCCTCCAGCTGCTACAGTGCGCCGCACAGACGGTGGAACAGCTCAAAATTTTGAGTCCGCGCAAAGAACACTTCCGTGCAATGCAGAGCATGCTGCGACTTGAGAGGCTGGAGGTGTGTTGTGACGCCGTCCTGGAAGCGCATCGCCCCGGACCGCCCGCGGCACAACCGAGACACAACAGCCTCAAGTGGCTCCGGGCGCAGAACCTACACCGAGACACGTTGATGTCCCTGCTAAAGGGCAACGCTCAGACGCTGGAGAAGCTGCACCTTTGGGTGGGCACTCCGGGACAGCAGAACTGGCCCCTTGCCTGCAACGACCTGCATTCGCTGCTAGAGCAGTGCGGGCTGCGGGCGTTGAGGAGGATTGTGCTCCACAGGGGGATGGTCAGCTGCCTCCACAGCGCAGCCGACTGCACCAGTCAGCGCAGTGCTGTGCGCGAGGTGGTCCCTCCTGGAGTCGAAGTTTTGTGCGAGTGGTGTGACTATGTGCCGAGGGAAAGCATCTAATAGTACGTAGTACTGAAGATGAATGAAAATCATCTTGCATGTCGTTTACTAACACTTCAATAAAGACTATGGTTAAAAAATTCTGGTTAAAATTTAATGCAGCCAAACTTAACAAATTTAAAAGTACTCATAAAAATAGGTTTGTAACGTATTCTTCTACTTATTGAAACAATGGCGCCAGATAAGTTTCACATATTCGGTTCATGCAGTTTCAGGGGAAACCCTCTTCAACCGCTGCTCCAGATTGCCCACCGGGCCGGCGCCACGTTCGGAGCTCACGTGCGCCGGACCCGGGTGGGCAGCATGTGGTGGGGCCGGGTGGGGCGGGGCAAGGCGGTGCGGGGCGCGGCCATGGCCGGTCTGCTACGCGGCTCACGCGCCGATCCGTCTAAACTAATAAGTCCCGGGCAAGAGGCACACAAACCGAGTTTTCAGGGTGAAAGTTCAGGAAGGCGTGCCCGGGGAGGGCGGGGGTTGCAGGGAGGCAGGTGGGGTGCGTCCTTCGTATATAGGCGTGCGGGGCAGCGCAGGCCCACACCTGAGGCGCTGGTCGGGGAGAGTGTGTCCGTGCGGCAGCAGCTCCTCGAAGCGGCGCAGTCAGCCAGCGCGAATGTGAACGGTTTGGGACGGCTCAGGACGGCCCAGGACGGCCCAGGACCCGGCACGACTGAAGAGGGGCTTCAGGAAGAGAGGGATATAACCAGCAAATACAAGAAAAAGTGAGTGAAGTGCAATCGTGAAGTGCAGTGTGCCAGTGCAGTGTGCTCAGCCAACGTTCGCGGACGTACGCCGCATATATCTGTTTTGGAGTTATCGGTGGCATGGTTCCAAAGAGGCGAGTCTAACACCACAAAGCCATAGGATTGTATCCGGCTTCCGTGAGCCAAACTTGTTTGACATCGGTCATGAAGACGAGGCAGAGGTGGGTGCTCAGCGAGGACTGTGTAAAGCTGCAGTGGGTTGTTCCTGTGATAAGAGCGAAGGATAATGAAGGTCACGTCAACTTGTTGAGGTAAGTTCCCGCCCGCGGGGCCGGGGAGAGGCGCTGACTGCGAGGCTGGCTGCGGGATCCAGCCCGGGCAGCTGGTTGCAGCCCCCTCCTCTTACCCCGTCCCTCTCGCGGCCGCGCCACATGTACACTAGAGAGGCAGAGTTCAAACCGCTGCCGCAGCACGTGTGTCGTGTCAGCACCCAGGCGTGTTGCAGGTGATGAAACAAACTGAAAGTTCGGAAAACTTTTAACTAAACAAACATCTAAAGAGCACGAAACAAAATCAAATAATAGCAACAATTAATTGGAATGGAGGCCCTGGAATCTCTATCCTACTACAATGCATCATTTATGTGGAAATAACGATTAAAATAGATCACTAGAGGACCCAAGTGATTAAAATCTCGCCGGGAATAGGAAAAGTAGCTTTTTTTTAGATCCCCGTGCTAACGGCACCGTGCACCTATTTCCTAATTCTTAACCGTACAGCCTTCTGTTTTGTGTGCTCGGGGTTGTTTTCTTTTGCTGGTCTCTTGACAAGATAAATCCCAAGTCGGCACATGGTGGTCGTGCCTTGCTGGCCCGTGTTCTTTTTTCCGAGACTGAAAGTGTTCAAAATCTAAAATCACCTACTGCTGTACATTTCAAAAGCAGTGCAGTACTATTATTTGTCATGTGCGTGTTTTATTCAATGAAAAGAAAACATTTTGTGGTCCTGTGGAAATCAAATAACCCCTCATATTACTCTGAAACTTTTTATCAATGATGTATATGCTATTCCTACTGTAGGTGTGCGTAGATCGTTCTAGCCGACAATTAGAAAACAATGATGTTGAGTATTTGGGTGACACTCTTATCGATGCAAGAGAAAAGCAAAACTTCAAGAAAAACCGTAAACGTATTGAAATCATGAAAAATCATGCTGCTAATCCGGTTGTCGCCTCAGTACCCCAGCAATTGCTGGTTGAGGTTAACCTCAAAACAGAAAGAGGCGCGTGGGCGTTGTAGCGTTAGTATTCGGTCAGTACACTGTTGATTGACAGCTCTGCTTGGGTGTTTTCTCTCGCAAAGCGCGACCCAGATCCACTGAGCCGCGCCGAACCGCAGCGCAGGTCCAGCTCTGCACCCTGATTGGACCGGGATTACCTGCAGCGGATTGTGTTGGAAACAACACAGTGTGCAAACACTCTCTTGCTTTGGTAGGGTAGAGGGAGAGAGATGGAAGATTCCCAATATGTGCGCCTGCATTGAACTTTCCCTCGTGTTTTCGGCCCTCTGCACAGAGCATATTTTATCATGTGCTGCAGGTAACCATGTCGCTGCTCCACGAGCCCCACTTCAGCGCCTACCAATGGCAGCCCGCGACCGGTGGCTTCGGCAACCACACCGTTGTAGACAGCGTCCCGGCGGAAATGTTGCACATGGTGGATCCCCATTGGTAATGTTTAAAGCTTAAATATGTTTAAAATAGCCTTTGTTTTCGACTTGTTTTAGTTTTTTAACGTGTAGAGAGAAAGCAAAAAATCAAACAGAAATCGTTGGGATTGTTTTGATTTGTTGTAAAAATACATGGTTCTCTTCAATTTGACTCTATGTCGCCCGATGATTCAAATACTGCGGCGTCACATACTATAAATGGTAAATTGTGTCACATTATTTAGAATATCACGTGATCCGTGACATTGGTACGACTACCATTCAATGGTAAGCCCGTTAGAGCAGAGCAGGGGTATGCCACGTTCTAACGAATTTGACATGATGTACCAAACACTGTGACACAATTCACAATGTATAGAATGTGCCGTCACAGTATTTTAACAAAAAACAGTGCGAGGTGACGCAATACAAACGGGTGGTTTCGATTTCTATACGTCTTATGTTATGCGAACAGGTACCAGTTTCCGCCTATGAACCCGCTGTGGCACGGGCTGCTGGGTTTCGTGATCGGGTGCCTGGGCGTCATCTCGCTCATCGGCAACGGTGTAGTCGTGTTCATCTTCTGCTCCACCCGGGGCTTGCGCACCCCGTCCAACATGCTTGTCGTCAACCTTGCTATGTCCGACTTCCTCATGATGTTCACCATGGCACCGCCCATGGTCATCAACTGTTATTACGAGACGTGGGTGCTGGGGCCCTTCATGTGCGAGCTCTACGGCTTGTTCGGGTCGCTCTTCGGCTGCGGCTCAATATGGACCATGACGCTCATCGCCATGGACCGGTACAACGTGATCGTCCGAGTGAGTTGCGGATAGGCACCACTACCACACTGAACACTCACCCCTATACTTAATTATTACAAGTGAACTAACGCCGACTATAATTTGAGGAATGCCATCGTTGCCTCATGATACTTTACGGAAAAATTTAGTGGGGCCATGGATCCACCCTTTTTGAAAAACCATCGAACTGAAGGTGTTAACACACCCTGAAGCAATCCTACTGATAAGAATTATTTCCCCACTCTAGGGTCTCTCGGCGGCTCCAATGACCAACAAGAAAGCATTCCTCTGGATCCTGTTCATTTGGATCATGGCTGTGGTCTGGACCGTGTTTCCTATGGTGGGATGGAACAGGTAAGTCTTGACAACGAGTTGCGGAATCAGCACTGCCCCGACCCGACACTAACGAAGAGCATGTCTCAGGTACGTCCCCGAGGGAAACATGACGGCCTGCGGCACCGACTACCTCAACAAGGACTTCTTCAGCCGGAGCTACATCCTCGTATACTCGTGCTTCGTTTATTTCCTGCCACTCATTATCATCATCTGGGCTTACTTCTACATCGTCCAGGCCGTGTGCGCGCACGAGAAGAACATGCGCGAGCAGGCCAAGAAGATGAACGTCGCATCGCTGCGGTCAGCCGAGAACCAGGCGACCAACGCCGAGGCCAAACTAGCAAAGGTAAAAAACCAACACTCAAAAATACCATTTGGAGTTAAGCATTTTTTGTTTATTTTTTTTTGAAACATTCGACTTTCAAACGATAACAATTTTAGATCACCATTCTGACTGACCACAGCGCATTTTAGATGGTCACAAAATATTAAATAGATTCATAGTAACTTGAGAACTTTGTAATTATGAAAAATCAAACTCGTGCTTGTACGATATTTCAAAATAATTACCTAAAAATCTACGGATATTTTAAATTTTCACAGTTAAACAAAACAGGGCTCACAGGACGAAATCACAACAGTGTAAACTGGAATGGGTCTTCTTACCTTAATGTTAATAGGATAGTGAAATCGATGTGGTTGGGTCTTCTTGTGACCCCACGGGCATGCCACAGCATGATGTCGATGTCGATTTAGAAACAAAATTTCGGGAGATTAATTTTTGAATCAAAATTTAAACACAAGATCTCAGTTTTGGCATGCGTTTCTGGTCCGGTTATACCACAGGTAAGCCATTTAACCGTGACGCTTCATCTGTTGTAGGTGGCGCTCATGACCATCTCTCTGTGGTTCATGGCGTGGACGCCGTATCTCATCATCAACTACGCGGGCATTTTCGAGGGCTACAAGATCAGCCCACTCGCCACCATCTGGAGCTCGCTTTTCGCGAAAGCGGGCGCCTGCTACAACCCCATCGTGTACGGCATCAGGTAAGAAGGGCCGCTAGCAGAGCAATTTGACAACGCCAACGCCAGGCAGGTGCAGCACGAGGGCATCCGGCTGGGGAAGGGGTGGGGCATGGCGCGGGCATGGGCCAGACCCTGGAGGAATTCGCTACCCCACCTGCCCGTCCGGCTAGCGCCAGCCTCAAGGCAAGCCTGCAACGAGTCCAATTCCACAGGCTGAAATAATTCGTACCAATGACATATTTTGTCTACAACGCGAAAAATGGAGCGATTATTTATTAGGCCGGGCTTAGCACAACACTTTGCTTCGTAACAGTTTCTGCTGTATTTGCTCGAACAGCCAGATCATATATTCGCCATCTCTGTCCGTCTCTATGAAAGCCCAATAGGAGAAGAAGTCTGACTGTTACAAGAGTAGAACAAAATGTCTAACTGCTGCAGTAGTAAAACTGGCTTGTTCGACCCCTACAACATAGAAAAAATAGGTTATTGAAAACTTTTCCTCCCACTGTTCTTCTGTTCTTTCTCTTAAAATTTTTGTTTTTCTCTTACCGTAATAGAAATTAGTCTGTTGACCCAACAGGGAATTCTTAAAGCTCTCGATGTTGTCTGCAAATGCCAGTTAACCAGCACGTACCTTCTTGTTGACAGTCACCCGCGGTATAGAGTCGCGCTGCAGAAGAAGTTCCCCAGCCTGTCGTGCGCGCCCGCCATTGACGACACGGCCTCCGTGTCCTCGGGCGTGACGAACGTCTCCGTGTCCGAGTCCGTGGTCACCGAGAAGGCGTAGCCCGGCGGCTGAGAGCGCTCGCCTCGACGAGCAGCCCGGAGCGCAACGGCGTGTGTTGCACCGCGGGCCTTGCAACGTACGGCACCGCGCCCCGGGAACTTGACGAGTTCACTGGTAAAACAAAGGTGCTAAGTCCTGCCTTTCCTGGGGCAATAAAGACATTTTCAGTTTAGTGCCTAACAAAGGCACTAAACAGGGTATAAATTGCCCAAAAGGTGCTAGTGCCTTTTAAAGGCAGGAGTTAGCACCTTTCTTTTTCCAGTGTGAGCGGCGCGTATACCGGCGAGAGCAGGACAGAATCTGCCCGGCGGACCTCGCGGCCGGGGAGCCACAAGTCGTGCCCTCCTCTGACCGGCGTGCGTACCAAACAACTTCGACGAAAAAATTGGCTGTGTTTTCGTGCGGCTGTGGCCAGTTTTTGTAAGTTTGAAGGATTTTAAAGTCATTTCCAGATTCAAACAAAATTTGTAAATACGAGAGATGAAAGTTATTTAATGGCGTATGAGTGTTCGGGTCAAACTTTAAGGGCCTTAATGCAGACGTTCTCCACCCATTCCATAACAGCTTATAGTTCATTTTTTTCATTTTCACCAATAAAGATTGAAAAATTTAACGACTGGAAAAAATCTTTTTACTAGAACTCGGACGACCAGGCGAAGTGAGGATAATTTAAAAAGAAAAATTTGTTGTCTTCCTACAGAATTTTATTCGTTTCTGATGTAATTTTCACAATCAAAATATGTACAGCATTTACACGTTGACCAAGAAAACGTCTGGTTCTGGAAGTTAAACAGAACAAAAAGAAAGACTTTCTGTACACTACGTACGTGCGTACAAAATTTTAATGCGATTTCTTAAGAAAATGGTTTACAAAACACGATACACTGACAGCAGTTTACCCACGCGCAATGATCCACAGTAGAAAGCAATCCAGTTGAGTTAGGAGGTAGAAAATGTTCGAACCTCGCGACAATACTACTCCGTTTAGGATTTTGGCGAGTCAACAGGGCCGCCCGGAAGAATTCCCGGGCCAGTGGGGCTGGAGCAGCAGCGCCCCCAATTAGTCGCGACTGCCTCCCACCCCTCCGGCTGCTCCACCCATCCTCCCCCATCTTACTCGCCCACGGCCCTATTCATAGATCACGCAGGACAGTTTAAAGGGGAGCAGCAGAGAACAGCAGCTCTTTTGGGGAGAGCTTGCAGCATGCCTGCCCTACGCTCTCTTTCACCCATTACATACATTTCTCTCTCCTCCCTCCCTGGTTCATCTCTATCCACCTCGCGTCTACCTCCCTCCCTCTCCCCCCCCCCCCCCCCCTCTCCCTCTCTCTCTCTCTCTCTCTCTCTCCCGACAAGCGCACAAGGGGTGGGACCGCGGGAAATGAGCTACGGGTTCCTCCCTTCCGTTTCAACAAACCGCGGAGCCGTGCGCCAAGGCCAGGTATGAGAAGTTCCCTTCACTCATCAGCAGCATAAAGCGGTCAGAAGAGGCATGCAAGAAGGGGGAACGGAATTGGCGCCAAACGAGCCGGCTTGCGGCGAGGGAGGGGGAGGGGAGGAATGATTCACCCCGAAAAAAACACGTTGTTGATCTTTTGCTGTACTAAAAACATGGGGTAAAGCTCGACGGTCAGGTCGAGCTCCCAGTCGCCTAGATATTTCGCATCAAAGGAAAGCCAACGCCAAGAGCGCGTGCTTTCCCGTTGACATCAAAGCAGGCCCCCAAAGTAAGAACATATTTTGGCATTGCCTTCTGTTTTCTGGGTGAATGTAAGTACACAAACGAGACTGCAAAAGAACGTGGCACGTGGTAAGTAAAAGATCAAATGCGAGTCTTCTGCCCGACGGCAGAAGTAAGTCACGGGGCCTACGGCTGTAAACCAGTTCACTCTATCGGCGTCACGTTACGACGCCCTTCCATAGGGCGAGGGGGAGGGGGCGAGCGTGCCCTACAGCCTGTCGGCCAGGATGTGCGGCGGCACGTGGAGGCGGCCCTCGCTGCGGCTGCCGTTGCGCGCGCGCTGCTCCACCAGCACGAGCTCCAGCTCGGTCGAGTCGTCCCGGCGGCCCCCGGCGGCAGGCAGCAGCCCCGAGGCCGATGCCGGGCCGACCGCGCGCGCGCTGGGGCCGCCGCTCAGGGCGCCGTCGGCGCGCCGCGAGGAGCCGCGGGGGGTCGTGCCAGCCGCGCCCTTGTACCTGGAATGTACAGCGCCCAAACCTTACAACCCCACACTTCAGAGGCCTTTTCATTACATCCAGTCCCATACACTAAGCAAATGGTTCAGGTATTTTAGTCGAACGCTTCTTGGAAGGATGCGAGACGGCGGCATCCCACACGTGAAAATGCTGCCAGCCGCAGTTCGAAACTACGGAGTCAACAGTTGTAATTGTGTGGCCAGAGGTGGTCCCAGAGCTTACCTGGCGGCGCCCGACGCAAACAGCTTGGAGCGGCTGAGGAGGTTGAGCAGGTCGTTCCGGAACTGGCGCGTGAGCAGCGCGTACAGGTAGGGGTTGGCGCACGCGTTGAGCGGGTAGAAGAAGACGAGGAGGATCTTGGTGCGCGGCACGTCGATGAGCGGCGCGCCCAGCAGCGCGGTGGCGCCGAAAAAGGCGATGGGCGCCCAGCAGGCGAAGTCAGTGAGCACGAGCAGCGTCATGCGCTTGGCCACCTGCACCGCGCACCGCTGCGGACAGCACGAGCAACGCGCGCATGAGTGAGCACATGACTACCTCATCCTCCGTGAGGGCCACCAAGGCCCCCCCTCTGATGGATATCAGAGAATGAGCAGCGGAGTGGACCATTTTTCATTCCAGTTTGTCACATCGTTACGCTCGCCCGCATGTAAAAAGGAATAAGTTCTGGAATTGGATCCGAGTGAGTCCCCTCCCCACCCTCCTCCCGCAAACAGGGCCACAGGGGAAGAAAGAGACCGAGAGTCTGGAATGAATTCTGGTGACGAAGAGACTCGCACCAAAAGGAGAGGCGAGGCGCGCCGCCGCTACTAGCTTTTTTAAATGGATTAAGGAAAGAGGAAACAGAAAGTGACCGCCGAAACTGGAGGTCCTTCCGAAACATGGAACGGTAAAGGATGATCTTCGCACGCCCCAAGAGAAAAATACTGCTAATCAAGACGTGCACTGCATACGGATTCAATGAGAATGTGTGGCCACGTGGTCACAGTCCTAAGTTGAATCAGTCCCCAAAATCGAGCCGGACTAAACGTAAACGTGTTAATCCTTCTCATGTGGCCCCTTAGAGTGGCTCTCAAAATTCGCACAAAAACACGCCACTGAAAACAAATTGTAAAAAATAAAACTGAATCTGGAGAGAGCGTGCGGACACCGTGGCAGACACCCAGCGCGACAAGAAGATCCACGAGGACAGCTGGCGCCCCCCCCCCCCCCCCGCACGTGGTGCAATGAACAATCCGGCTCGCTCTGGTTTCCCTTTTTTCCAGCACAATTCCGGCTGCGGCTGCGCCCAGCGCGCGTCGTTCGTAAGTAAAGTTTAGGCCCCCGTCTCTCACCAGGCCGACACTCGGCGGCGAGGACCTTGGCGGCAGCCAGGAGGGTGAAAGGAAAGACGGGGGGTTGAGGTTGAGGAGTGGGAGAGGGGAGGCTAAGCCAGCGTCGGCCGAGCAGGTCGCACCACTTCGGCCACTTTCTTTCCGGGACGGATTGCGCAGGGTGGGAAGCAGTAGTAGCTTTAATGTCGTGAAAGGCGAGTGAGCGCCGATCACCCGCGACCAGCAAGTTAAAACATTGCTTGAATGACTCGGGCCACATGGCGAATGGGGTTTCAATCACTTCGTCTCATCGTCTCTTGACCAGAGACACCCTCCGACCCACCAGTGCACTGTGTCTTGTCTGACTCCGATTCCACTCTCAACCCACGGAAAAGTTTCCGTGAATAATTCCAAGTTACTTCCCAGGCTGATGAGCTGCCGTCCTTGCGCTTTGCGAGTTGGTCGCGACTGTCGCTCATGCACACCCCAAAAAATCGTTCCTTTGATAATGACATTGTCTCTTGTTTCAAAGGAATTTTTCTTTGTTTAACGACAAAAATTCCTAGATTAAAATATCACTGGAAAAACTAATGTTACCATGGTAACGTTTTATCATGTGACCAAGACCGGTAACGTTTCCTGATGCGACCTACCCCATGCAAAAGGATAGGGCCATCACAAACAGGTTGCATCACCAAACGTTACCTGGTGTGGTCGCGTCAAGAAACGTTACCTCGGTAACGTTAGTTTTTCCAGTGTAGTTTTCTTTAAATAAAGGCAATATTTTTTTCTAAAATAAAGAAAACATTTCACTCTTGTGTGCTTAAGGAAAAATTACCTTGATTCAAGGGAACGATTTTTACCGCACAAGGGTCCACCGGAATCGAGCCCGAGCTACTTACCGTCACGTCGGAGCGTTGCATGGCGGCGCGGGCGTCCTGTCCGCCGCGCACGGCCTGGTACATGCGCAGGTAGCAGGCGCAGATCACCAGGAAGGCCACGGCCGTGAAGGACAGCAGCGCGCCGAGGTAGGCCCGGTCCCGCGGCAGCACGGAGCGCAGCGGCAGGCAGATGCTGAACGGAGATCATCGAGTTAATCGTGGGGCGCAATATGCAATAAAGCCTCGGTCCGTCCCGTCCGGCTTGCCGAGGTGCATAAGTGCGCGGGGGCGCGGCAAACGGACAGGAGTAGCCTGCTAATCGCCCAGCGCTCAGTGCGGCGCCTTACTCCCTCCGGCCACCACTTCTCAGCGACAGGCAAGCTCACCTCCAGCGGGGACCCCTGGGCCCTGGGGCACCCAAATGCATCCCTCCCACTCTAGCCAGCCCAACCACCTCCGGCCGGCCGGGCGGTGTCCCGCGCGCCGGACATGGGGACGGGCCTGGATTTGCACTCTGTGACGCTGGCGAGAGAGGGGCGCGGCCCAGGTTTGCGGCGCCGGCGCCTGTGCTCGCGTTCACTCTGGACACTCCGCTGGAGCCAGCTGTTCTTGAACGCGCGCGATGTCGCAACACGACCCTGTACAATCGACCGAGCCCAGCGCCATTCGGCGGTAACCTTTACATGAGAAAGGACAGTTTCGACAGTTTTCAACCCAAAAACAGTCATTTTCACTTGGGCCAGGTACAACTTGTAACTTTACAGAAACAAGTTAGCATCCAATTGTTGAGGAGTGCTTCAGAAGAACACATCTTCGGTGGATACACAAAAACTGTCCTTTTCCTTTCCTATTTAAGGGAACTCTGAAAATCCAACTGGTGCTGGAAATGTGCAATAATGATCACACCTATTACAATGTTTTCTTATTTCAAGTCCATTTTGACCTAGGATCAATTTGAATCTTGAGACAAGACGACATTACCTTTCGATTGAGAAAATTATCTTACTTAAAAAAAAAAATCGTCTTGGTGACAAGAAAAAAATAATCTTGGGTCACTCTTGGTACAAATGTACTTAAAACAAGAAATCATTTTTCTGGGTGCAGAAAAAGCATTGGTATGGTTCATGCATAATTCCGGCAGCAGTGACAATAATGCACCAGCTGAGTGCGCCACCATCCCGGCTGAGGTGCAAGAGGAGTTGCGTACCCATCCCAGCAGCTCGGAGTTGGAACTGTCCCGCCGGGCGGGGCAAGGTGGGGCGATCTTCCGGGTGCTCACAAACACGGCGCGACAGGCAGCCACACCGCCGGGCTGGATGACTGCCGGGCAGCGCCACGTGCCGCGGCTCA